CTGGTGTCAGCTCGGCCCCTCCCCAAATTTTTATTTTTAATTTCACAGCATGTCCTCTTTAGTGTACAACAGGAATAAATACGTTTCCTAACATCAGCGAAAAGATAGATGCAAAAATACAATGTCCACTACAATGGACATAAATGAATGGGTGGGGTCTCAGGAGGATATAGGCCAGGCTTTAGCTACTGGCATTATCCGTCCCTCCTCTTCTCTGGCAGGGGCTGGATTTTTCTTTGTTGAGAAGAAGGATGACACTCTTCGCCCTTGCATTGACCATGGGGGTCTGAACGACATAACAATCAAGAACCGTTACCCTTTACCACTGTTGTCCTCCATCCTGGATCAGCTACATAGCACCAGGTTTTTCACCAAGCTAGACCTGAGAAACGCCTATCATCTAGTCAGGATTCGGGAGGGTGATGAGTGGAAGACTGCGTTCAACACACCCACTGGTCATTATGAAGACCTCGTGATGCCTTTTGGGCTTACTAATGCTCCGGCTGTGTTCCGGAATCTGGTCAATGAAATCCTCCGAGACATGCTTAACAGATTAGTTTTTGTATATCTTGATGATATCTTGATCTTTTCTCAGACCAAACAGGACCATGTTCAACATGTCCGCGAGGTTCTCCAGAGGCTCCTGGTGAACAAGTTATTTGTCAAGGCTAAGAAGTGTGAATTTCACAGGCACACAGTCTCCTTTTTGGGCTTTATCCTTGTGGAAGGGTTTGTCCAGATGGACCCCGCTAAGGTAAGGGGGGTCAGCCAGTGGCCCCAACCTGGCTCCTGGAAGGATTTACAACGGTTTTTGGGGTTTGCTAATTTCTGTCGCCGATTTATCAAGTGGTACAGTATGGTTGCTGCTCCATTGACTGCACTCATTTCTTCCAAGCTACCGTTACACTGGACTCCTGAGGCTCAAGTGGCTTTCAATGACCCGCGGACCCCGTTTACTTCGGCACCCCTTCTGCAGCTCCCTGACCCCTCAAGACAGTTCATAGTTGAGGTGGATGCATCTGGGACAGGAGTGGGTGCCATTTTGTCCCAACGTAGTTCCGGGGATAAGATACGTAAGATTCATCCCCGCGCCTATTTTTCCGAAAGTTAATGCCAGCGGAAAGGAATTATGACATCGGGAACCTGGAACTCCTAGCTTTTAAACTGGCCTTGGAGGAGTGGCGGCACTGGTTGGAGGGCACTTCGGAGCCATTTCTGGTTCTGACAGACCACAAGAACCTGGAATATTTGCGCATGGCTAAGCGTCTCAACTCCCGTCAGGTCAGGTGGTCATTGTTCTTTGCCCGTTTTAATTTTGTGTTCTCCTTTAGGCCCGGAGACAAGAACCTCAAGCCGGACGCACACTCTCGTCAGTTTAGGGAGGATGACCTCAAGGATGCTGGTGCTGTTTCATGGGGAATTGAGGAGGCGGCCCAGGCGGTACAGCGGCTTCTGCGCCCCCCGGCAGGGACTCAGCAAACTGTCTCTACATCCCAAAGTTTCTGCACTTCTGAACAATCCTATGGGAGCACTCCTCTCTCCTAGCCTGTCATCCAGGGGTGCATAGGACAAGGGCCCTTCTCGCACAATGTTTCTGGTGGCCTTCGATGCTTTGTGACATCCGTAGAAACATTGCGGCTTCCCCCATTTATGCACAGAGTAAGACCCCCTCTAAGCTCCATGGTCTTCCCATCGATATGGTCTCTGATGGGGGCCCTTCGTTTTGTTGGACCTTTCCCAGTGTCCAAGGTCATTAACCCCTCAGTGGTACGTCTGCCTGCTACCATGTGCCAAGTCCATCCCGGCTTTCATGTGTCATTACTTAGGCCTCATGCGACGAGTCCTCTGGCCTCCCCTGTGCTTCCTCCTCCTCCCCCTCGGTTAGTGGATGGCAGTAAGGTGTTCTTGGTTCACTGGTTGTTAGATGTTCGCTGCAGAGGTCGAGGTCTTCTGTATCTGGTGGACTGACAGGGTTATGGGCCCGAGGAATGTTCCTGGGTCCCAGGTCATTTTATTCTGGACCTGTCTCTGATTGCCGACTTCCACTGTCCCTGTCCTGGAGTCAGACGTAGAGGGGAGGGTACTGTCACGGATTGCTCCAGGGATGCCCCATCGTCACACCGACCACGCCCCTCCAGGGAATCCCACTGACGGGAGACACCTCCTTTGGGGATGCCATACCTTTCCATTCTGATTTTACGGCTAATTCTTGTTAGGAGCCATTCCTCTTTCAGCTGTTTCGTTTTTTTTTCTGTCACCAGATCTATTTATAGAAGCCGATCACCCTGATATGGTTGCGAGATCTTCATGGTGTGCCCAGAGTTCGAGCATTTCTCCTGTTACCGATTTTCCTGTATACCAACCTCTGCTCCGTATTCCAGACCCCGAGCCTTGCCTGTCCCCTGTTTCACTGCCGACACCGATCGCCTGAACCATGCCCGATTTCCCGACTCCGATCTTCGCCTTCTCCCTCTGGACTCTGTAACCAGTCGCCGAGCTTACAGACTCTGATCTCTGTCTCCGCCCTCTGGACGATCGCCCATCTCTCTGTGCCATGCCATCAGCCACCTTTCCGCCTCTGAGTCTGCTGAGATTTATTGGAAGCCTGATTCTCTGCTGCTTATATTCTAACAGCTCGTCCTGCAATAAAACCGCTTACCTGAACCTGGTCTGCATCAGCATTCATCCTGTGCATCCCTCACAACATGGCATGTTTTGAATAAAGATTCGCCTTTTGTTCTGATGGCACCCCCGCACATTCTGTGCTCAAACTTCTCATAGCTGTGTTGTGCGATGTTTTTATAGTGTTGTAAGATTGCTACTTGTTCTTGCTAGATGTCGTTTAAGTGATCGCCGATCACGATCATTCAGGATTTTTTTCCGGCCACATTTCTTCCTCAAAGACAATGGGTCCCCACTATCCTTCCAGTTTTTAATAATGCGTTGGACAGTTCTTAACCCAATTTTAGTAGTTTCTGCAATCTCCTTATATGTTTTCTCTGCTTGATGCATGCCAATGATTTGACCCTTCTCAAACAGACCAACATCTTTTCCACGACCACGAAATGTGTCTTTCGACATGGTTGTTTAAGAAATGAGAAGCAACTCATTGCACCAGTTGGGGTTAAATAACTTGTTGCCAGCTGAAAGATAATCGCCCATGCAGTAATTATCCAATAGGAGGCTCGTACCTATTTGCTTAGTTAAATCCAGGTGGCGACTTTTTTTTGGCCAGGCAGTATATATGAATTCTCAATTAATTCGAAAAATAAAAACAATGTCTATCTCTTAAATGCAGAAGTTTAGTACAATGACGTTTATTGACAACCTTGGAGACGGTACCGCAGCAGCATGTGCTGGTGATGCATTGGTGTCCTGTCGGCATTGGTGAGCTTCATCCGTAAACATAAGCCTCCTTCTGGTTTGCTTTCAGAGCCCGAATCCTGTGCTGACCTTTTGTGTGAAGACACACAACCAGCTCTACTACATGGTGGCTCCATCCTTAGAGGCCATGCGCATCTGGATGGATGTCATAGTAACGGGCGCTGAAGGGTACACACAGTTCATGTCCTGAGAGCACCTCAGACTTTGAGGCTGCAACAGGTCACAGACTCAGCATGGACTTTTCTGAGGGTCTAAAACTCCATTTTAGGAAAAAAATTATTTTTACTTTTGCTTGCAACACTTCTGTAATTTAATTTAATTTCAGAAAATGCAACTTTTTGGACAATTTTGGACATTTGCACAATTTCAGAAATTTCACAAATATGCACAATTTTACTTCATGCTAAACTTGCTCATGCTTATTTTGTACATTGACATTTTGCACGTTTTTGTCTTGTCCTTTTCTGTTTTGTCTTTACAATATCCTGGAAACTATAATGCGCAGTCACTATTGAAGCGTCTTGTTATGTCCTCCTACTGTCCCTGTTTAGAGTACAGAGATTTTTATAGTTCTCATAGGTATTTAAGTTTACGATTCTCCTAAATTTGTATAAGTTTCTTCTAAATGTGTATTTTCTTCTAAATTTGTATTATGTGTAATCTCTGTTTATATTTTTCTATATTTTATATTCTACGCACCATGGGGGGGGGGCTGGGCGAAACGGCATTTCAATACACTGTATACTATGTATATTGTTGTATTGACAATAAATCCCTCTTGAATCTTGAATCTTGGGGGGAAAAAAAGGATTCTTGACAAATTTTGCCTGGGTGAAAACAGTGAGTTCTGAAGTCAAATGTACGCAAGCAGATACAAAAGATGTAATGCAGTCCTTGGGCCAAAAGTTTGACCCTTTTCTTGATGCTGAAGCAGCATTGCATTTCTGGCAGTCTATAGGAATTTGTATACCAGGTGTATGAGAATGGTACTTGGCAGTGCTGTAGCTATGTAATTCATGCTTGTGTATGATAGTTTGTACCTTTCATACCATAATGATTGCTCCAAGTATTTGACAAAAACTTGCGTAAAGTCTGCTGGGATAGTAGTATTTTTTACATGTATATGAGGTTTGTTGACTTTGAGAAGGTTTGTGCAGCCCTTAGTAAGCTGAACTGGATGTTTGAATGTGAGGCTACATGCATTGCAGGAGATGATCGGCTGGGGCCGTCTCAAGCTATCATGCTTAGGAAAACATTATACATACACTCACCTAAAGGATTATTAGGAACACCATACTAATACGGTGTTTGACCCCCTTTCGCCTTCAGAACTGCCTTAATTCTA